TGCAAAACTTAAAGCCATAAAACAGCAAGAATATTGTGTTCCCAGTAAAAGTTCACCTAGGATGGCAAATAACACCACCACTGTTTACAGTAAAGTGCAGTTTCTGCTGAATTAATTAATGCAGTTCTATTGTCACAGTTATTTCAGACACGACGGTTCCTTGTGCCAATCTCACCCAAACCACCTCCACCCCTCCTGTATCAGACTGTAGTGTCTGCTGGAAGCTGCTGGTCAGTGTGTGTCCTGCGTGTGTTCTCCTCTCCTCAGTCGTCTCCTCCACCTGTGTGTTCTGCATCTGCCGCAACAAAACTAAAGGTAGGTTTGTAAATGTGTCACAGTCAACTCTGCAAATAAACACATTTTCTACATTCACTTCACAACTTCATGAGCATAATGTTGTGTCCTTCCCAACCATAACAGCTGATCGTAGAGCAGACCAACGAGGGAATATGAAAATGAGAAAACATAATCAGGTATAACACAGAAACACAGCACATTTTACACTGTATAGCAATTTAAATACAGTTCACTCAACACAGTTTGTTTCTGTGATAGACTTGTATGTATTAGTTGTCTGAAGCACAAATGTCTTTAAAATAACTGCAGGTTGGAGGTGATGATGTTTGCTATGCTTCACTGGACGTCCCGAGTGGTGGAAAGAAACGGCTGAAGAAGAGGACAGCTGAAAGATCTGAATTGTGCACATATTCTGAGGTTAAAACTCAGAAAATGTAGAACTTCTGAGGAGTACGCTGGACGATCAAGAGGTCAAAGAATGAAGGTACCTCAGTCAGCAGTGTTGGAGTTTATTCAGTTTCAGTGAGATCAGGGAGTCAGATTGTTTTGAATTTCTCTAAAGTTAATTCTTGAAGATCTGCCTGAGCTGAATTTGATTCATTTGATGACATCTCAACTTAGTTGCACTGCATTTAGTAACTTTACTGTTTCAAAAAATTATCAATATATGTATCATAATGGTATCAGGGAAAACCCTTATTGGCTCCCTCAGTGATCTCATCCTGTGTTGTGTTTTTGGTGTGTTCCTTTGTCTTTTCTCTTAATTACCGGCTTTTTAATGTTCTTGCTGTTTAGAAAATGACTATTGTAAATATTGAGTGATAGCCATGTCTTTCCAGGGTATTATAAATGTATTTTAGACAAAGACAAACAGCTTATTATTTACTTTTTGACTTCACATGCTGATTATGACTTTAAGAGAGAATGTTCTTACATTCCACTGAAATTCAATAAAGTTTATTTGAATCCTAGTGATGAATGCTGAATGATGTGTGAGATGATTTATGCTGGCTTCAGTATACACTGCAGGGAAAAACAGGGGCAAACCAATAAGCTTTAAATTGTCCTAATAACAATCAGTTGTTCTTATTGTTACAACAATAAGTCAGTATTTCTCTACTCAGTATTGATGGCTTCAAACATTGCTGAGCTTGTTTGTGCTTAATTTGAGAGCTTTAAAGTATGTACATTTGGACTCTGACAATGCCAGTACCTTCAGTAAAAACCACTATATTTTGGGCTTAGACCACAGACTATGTAGACACTGTACTTTGACGGCTGCCTTTTTTAATATGCTGAACTCCAAGGACCGAGTTGAGTGTTCATTTTCTCACCATCACAATTCTGTACTTTAATAGTTTCAAAGTAGGTACCGAACAACTGATAGCAGTTGTGGAACAATAAGCCTTAGAATTAATAACACAATAACTTGCCTAGAGGATATGGGGTTAACCAATTAAGGACAGAGAGCCCCTCAAGCCAACCAACAGCTATTGAGCAAGTCTGGCTCCTCTTGACCACATGAGAAACTCCTGAAGTTCTGTGTGCGTTACTGACGTCTTCATATCAGCAGCAGGAATGACTTCTACCTGCTGTACTGATGACATTTTACATTCATAACCTAGTAAACTGACACTGGTTCAGCTCCCCTTGATCTCTACACTTGCCCAAGATCACATTCACCAATAACAGAGGATTCTATCAGTTAAAGGTGATGCATTTTGGGCTCAGAAATGCCCCCAGCATCGCCTCATGGGTACAGTGTTCTTTGGGATTCCTCAGAGGTGCTGGTGGTGTACCTTGAAGATTGCCTATGTAGTAGATTGCAAGAGGGTTCTGCACAGCCCACCAGTATGACAATTACTTCACTCACAGCCCTTAAAACATCATGCATGGATAATAAAGCTAGCAGGAGTTTCAGCACTGTGGACAGAGACTGACTCTTTGAGCTGATGTACCTTTTGATGTACAAACACCAACACAGCTCACAGTAAGAGTGAGGGAGATCTGTTAGCGTTTGGCTGTTCATGACGAGTTAAATACTAGATCATTTAGGGGCTACAGGAGCAAATCATTCAAAGAAGCAGACTCTGAATGCTTACTGATCTGTCTTCAGGTTACTGAACTAGTTACACTGGAGAGAATACTGCAGCTGGTTGTGTTTTAGCAGTGTGTTTCTAATAGTGTTCACAAGAAACTTCCACACATAAAGAGAGTGAATTGGCTGTTTACGAAGGTATGAAAATGTGTGGTTGGTCAGGGTGAAACCAGATAAACGGTGATGTGTGGTGCTCCTCCCCCACTCTGAGAGTTAGAGAGACACGCTAAAACAGGAAACCCACAATGAGACTCTGCAGCTCAGGACACATCGGAGGGTCTTTACTGACTGATCTCATATCTGATCTGCATTGTGTAGATGAAACTTTCAGGCCTAGTAAAAGTAGGAAAACTGACTTGGGATTTGATTTATAAATTTAATATGAGTTTACAGGTTCAATCTAAGGTTAAAGTTCAGTTTAATGAAGAAATTGAAACTTTTATGTGAAACTAGTTCAAATGGCACTTTATCTGCACCACAAACAGCATCACACAGCTATGGAAACATCTGTAGTTAAAGATGGCCACAAACAGAGGCTCTATAATCAAAGAATACCTTCGCTAGTTTGCACTAAAATCCATGTATTCACTGAATAATAACCATTATAATGTATTAAACCTTAGATTGTAAGGTCTTAAATAAAGTTTTATGTTACATTGTGAAAGACAGTCAATTGAATATTTTTAAATAAACAAGTCATTTATTTTGAGCAAATTATCTGTTATGTCACCTGAATTCACTTGGTTTGTGTACTGCTTTTCAAGAGATGGAGCCATGGCTGTCTCAGCAACTGATAGAGTCCAATGTAAACTGCCTGATGGTTCAGAGTTCTGTGTGGTTACTGAATATGAATGCTACCAGGTTGACCATTCCTTCTCTCCTCACTTTAAAGCAGACAAGAACACTGAATTTGAGGGGACATTTCTTGCAGTCTGATTAAAACAGTAACAGTTGGACTGAATGTACACAATGGCTATTGCATTACTAGAATATACAGAATAACAAAAGCAACAACTTGGTGGAGCTCCAAATCCCCTCAAGAGCCTCCACTGTAACAAGAATCCATGAGCTGTATGAATGACAGGGAAAGACAAAGCCTATAAACATGGATCATAAACTTTACAAGTAAGTAGTTGTAAACAAAAAAAATACCATTCATACATTAAAAAAGTCAATATATTTATAGTTTATATCCTTGGCAATGTGGCAGCAGAAATACACTGTCTTTCCTTCTGCATTCCCTAAAATACAGTAAAGTACGCTTACACCCACATAAATAAACATAAATTGTGATCCCCTCCCCCCCAACCCTGAGAGGTAAGATCGTCAAACACCACCCACTCAAAACAGGAAACCCACAATGAGACCCTGCAGCTCAGAGCACATTAGACCACTGTTCACTGACTGTCTTTACTGACTGATCTCACATCTGCTCTGTGCTTTTTAGATACAACTTTCAGGACTGATTCAAGAGGAGAAACTGATCTGGGATCTGTTTAAAAATGTCTCATGTTCTTTTTATCTACATGTGAGTGATCAGCATGTGAGTGATCATTCTGCTGCTATTAAACCTGAGACAACTTTGTTATTTGTAATAAAATCTCAGTGACAATAAACTGGTGGGTTAAAACAGTACATACAGATCAGGCACTATGATGGCTTTTCTAACCTTTTTCAGACAGCTGTTTATGACTGCCTACCCCTGAATCACAATTAGAATAGAATGAATTGTGAACAATAGCCTCTATCATTGGTAAGACTATTTATATATTGTCCAATACTAATGAATGTAATGATGGGCAGGTTGGTGTGCTGACCAATGCCTCCTTACTACACTTACACTCACTCACATACACACACATGCTCAGTGTAGACTGTAATGGAAACACGGTTGCAGATGGTAACCACAGATAAAGACATAACGGGTGAAGATTCACTTCCCTCCACCATATATGCACATTCTTGATACTCAGAGCTCAACAGCATCAAAGTTCAGACATGCAAAAACAGGAAACCCACAGTGAGACCCTGCAGATCAGGCCATTTCAGACCACTCTACACTGACTACCTGTAATAACTGATCTCAGATCTGCTTACAGTTCACTGTTCTTAACATTGAGACTGACTTTTAACCAATAACTCTCCTACAATCAGTTATAGTCTAAAATGTTCAAGCATTCAGTTTCACACCTTGAGAACAAAGGCATAACATTATGACCACCTCGGTGTTTCTATGCTCATTGTCCATTTTATCAGCTACACTTACTATATAGGTGCCATTTGAAGTTCTGCAATTACAGACCCCCATGGACCCTCACAGAGCAGGTACTATTTGGGTGGTGGATCATTCTCAGCACTTCAGTAACACTGACGTGGTGCTGGTGTGTTAGTGTGTGTTGTGCTGGTCTGAGTGGATCAGACACAGCAGTGCTGTGATAGGTATTAAACACCTCAGTGTCACTGCTGGACTGAAAATAGTCCACCAACCAAAAATATCCAGCCAACAGCGTCCTGTGACCACTGATGAAGGACTAGAGGATGACCAACAAAAACTGTGCAGCAGCAGATGAGCTGATAAAATGGACAATGAGTGTAGAAACAAGGAGGTGGTCATAATGTTATGCCTGATGGGTGTTTATGCTATACATCATTGGATTTAGCTAGTTTGACAGTTACCTCTTCCAACCAGATGTGTTAAAATAAGGATAACTCAAGCACTCCAGGACTTCTATTGTGCACTTAAAGGCCTAAACATGTGCTCATAATGTATTTAGTCATTGTTACTGGTTTTAATCTTGTTTAATTTATTGGACATTGCTTGACCAGCACACCCACAGTCAAAGAAATGTGAGAGTGGAAAAGTCAAGCTAATCACACATCTATATCAAAGTGACCAGTCAGGAAGCATGTGATCAGTTTGCATGTCTCTCATTGGTGAGCTGTCGGAACAACAAGATTAACCGCTATGCTGTGAGACGTAATCGAAAATAGAAATGTTCCACTGACGTGGACCAATCAGACCTCGACACAGACATCCACCTCAAACACCCTCACCATCATCAGCCCCCCAGCACCAGTCTCTGAGATGGAGAGATCAAGAGCTGTTCTCATCACCGTCATGTGTAAGTAAACTTTTACACCTATTCAGTTTCATCTCATAGTGGACTTTGTGACACTCTAGAGCCATCAGAACGTCTTGGTTATGCATTTATTTAATCTGGTGTTTAATTTTGTGTTCCAGGTGTTTTGATCTCCAGCATATGTGGAATATTAGTGGAGATGAGAATCAAACCAGGAGACGATGTCACCATCTACTGCGACTGCACTCGGCAGGGTGGATTTAATATAGTGTGGTTGATCAAACCCTTACAGGAGCATCAACCTCCTCTCATTAATGTTACTGAAGACTCTATATTTCCACGTTACTCTCGTGTTTGGAACAACTCCAAGGGAACATATGATCTGCTGGTGAAGAGCATCACTGAATCAGAGCTGGGCCTGTACTACTGTACTCTACATGAGATCAAGTTTTCTCGAAATAAAAATGGAGAAATACTAAAAGAGGATGTTTATCATGATGGAAACAGAACCACTTTCCTCTCTTTCCAGGGTAAGATTACTTATTCTGACCTACTGATTCTTGTGATCTGGGCTTCTTGCAAAACTTAAAGCCATAAAACAGCAACTATATTGTGTTCCCAGTAAAAATTCACCTAGGATGTCAAATAACGCCACCACTGTTTACAGTAAAGTGTAGTTTCTGCTGAATTAATTAATGCAGTTCTATTGTCTCACAGTTATTTCAGACACGACGGTTCCTTGTGCCAATCTCACCCAAACCACCTCCACTCCTCCTGTATCAGACTGTAGTGTCTGCTGGAAGCTGCTGGTCAGTGTGTGTCCTGCGTGTGTTCTCCTCTCCTCAGTTGTCTCCTCCACCTGTGTGTACTGCATCTGCCGCAACAGAACTAAAGGTAGGTTTGTAAATGTGTCACAGTCAACTCTGCAAATAAACACATTTTCTAAATTTACTTCACAACTTCATGAGCATAATGTTGTGTCCTTCCCAACCATAACAGCTGATCGTAGAGCAGACCAACGAGGGAATATGAAAATGAGAAAACATAATCAGGTATAACACAGAAACACAGCACATTTTACACTGTATAGCAATTTAAATACAGTTCACTCAACACAGTTTGTTTCTTTGATAGACTTGTATGTATTGGTTTTCTGAAGAACATATCTATAAAATAACTGCAGGTTGGAGGTGATGATGTTTGCTATGCTTCACTGGACGTCCCGAGTGGTGGAAAGAAACAGCTGAAGAAGAGGACAGCTGAAAGATCTGATTTGTGCACATATTCTGAGGTTAAAGCTGAGAAAATGTAGAACTTCTGAGGAGTACGCTGGACGATCAAGAGGTCAAAGAATGAAGGTACCTCAGTCAGCAGTGTTGGAGCTGATTCAGTTTCAGTGAGATCAGGGAGTCAGATTGTTTTGAATTTCTCTAAGGTTAATTCTTGAAGATCTGCCTGAACTGACTTTGATTTATTTGATGACATCTCAACTTAGTTGCACTGCATTAAGTAACTTTACTGTTTCAAATAATTATCAATATATGTATCATAATGGTATCAGGGAAAACCCTTATTGGCTCCCTCAGTGATCTCATCCTGTGTTGTGTTTTTGGTGTGTTCCTTTGTCTTTTCTCTTAATTACCGGCTTTTTTAATGTTCTTGCTTTTTAGAAAATGACTATTGTAAATATTGAGCGATAGCCATGTCTTTCCAGGGTATTATAAATGTATTTTAGACAAAGACAAACAGCTTATTATTTACTTTTTGACTTCACATGCTGATTATGACTTTAAGAGAGAACGTTCTCCCATTCTACTGAAATTCAATAAAGTTTATTTGAATCCTAGTGATGAATGCTGAATGATGTGTGAGATGATTTATACTAGCTTCAGTATACACTGCGGGGGAAAAGCGGGCAAACCAATAAGCTTTTAATTGTCCTAATAACAATCAGTTGATAGTATCATTACTCAGAGCATTCAGAGTCAGTATTTGTTTACTCAGTATTGATGGCTTCAAACAGTTACTACAAACATTGCTGAGCTTGTTTGTGCTTAATGTGAGAGCTTTAAAGTGTTTACATATGGACTCTGACAATGATAAAACCTTTATTAAAAACCATGATATTTTGGGCTTAAACCATAGACTATGTAGACACTGTACTTTGATGGCTGCCTTTTTTAACCTGCTGAACTTTAACCAAGGACCTTTTTGAGTTGAGTGTTCATTTTCTCACCATCACAATTCTGTACTTTAACAGTTTCAAAGTAGTTACTGAACAATTGAAAGCAGTTGTGGAACAATAAGCCTTAGAATTAATAAGACAATAACTTGCCTAGAGGATATGGGGTTAAACCATTAAGGACAGAGAGCCCCTCAAGCCAACCAACAGCTATTGAGCAAGTCTGGCTCCTCTTGACCACATGAGAAACTCCTGAAGTTCTGTGTGCATTACTGACGTCTTCATATCACCAGCAGGAATGACTTCTACCTGCTGTACTGAAGACATTTTACATTCTTAACCTAGTAAACTGACACTGGTTCAGCTCCCCTTGATCTCTACAGTGGGAGCTGAAAGGCAACACTTGCCCAAGATCACATTCACCAATGACAGAGGATTCTATCAGTTAAAGGTGATGCATTTTGGGCTCAGAAATGCCCCGAGCATCGCCTCATGGGTAGAATGTTTTTGAGATTCCTAAGATATGCTGTTGGTGTACCTTGAAGATTGCCTGTGTAGTAGATTGCAAGAGGGTTCTGCACAGCCCACCGGTATGTCAGTCACTTCACTCACAGCTCTTAAAACAGCATGTATGTATAGTGAAGCTAGCAGGAGTTTCAGCACTGTGGACAGAGACTGACTCTTAGAGCTGAGGTACCTTTTGTGCTTTTCACAAACACAAAGAAAGCTCACATAAAGAGTGAGGGAGATCTGTAAACTGTTGGCTGTTTATGACTAGTCAAATACTAGATCATTTAGGGGCTACAGGAGAGAAACATGCAAAGAAGCAGACTCTGAATGCTTACTGATCTGTCTTCAGGTTACTGAACTAGTTACACTGGAGAGAAAACTGCAGCTGGTTGTGTTTTAGCAGTGTGTTTCTAATGGTGTTCACAAGAAACTTCAACACATACAAGGAATGCTTTGACTATTTTAGCAGGAATAAGAATGTGTTGTTGGTCTTTAAGAAACCAGATAAACAGTGATGTGTGATTCTCCTCACACTGAGAGTTAGAGAGACACGCTAAAACAGGAAACCCACAATAAGACCCTGCAGCTCAGAACACATCAGAGTGTCTTTACTGACTGATCTCACATCTGATCTGCACTGTGTAGATACAATTTTCAGGCCTGGTTAAAGTGGATAAACTGACTTGGGATTTGATTTACAAGTTTAAAATAAGTTTGCAAGTTTAATTTAAGATAAAAGTTCAGTGCAATGAAGAAACTGAAACTTTTACGTGAAACTAGTTCAAATGGCACTTTATCTGCACCACAAACAGACTCACACAGTCATGGAAACATCTGTGGTTAAAGATGGCCACAAACAGAGTGCTCTATTCTTTGAAATACAGCTTTCAAAGCGCAAGTTCTGTTCTTGGCTCTCTTGAAAAAAAATCATTACTGTCTTTTAAAATGATGAATTTGTTTTGGCATTTACATACATAGAGTGTAAAATATCATTTGCCAAAAAAAAACAAAAAAAAACAATAATATGGTAATAATAATAATGGTAATATCAATAATTTGTAGACTATGTAAGACAGTAGTAGCTGGAAAATCATAGATCAATGAGCAGAAAGCAACAACATGGAGCTCCAAATCCCCTCAAGAGCCTCCATGAATCCATGAGCTGTGTGAATGACAGTGAGAGTGAATAGCTACAAACAAGGAGGAACCATTGCCTGTGCATATGATATACACTCATTTTAACATACAGCTACTGTTGCTCTCTTATACTTACTGAAATACAAATCATAAACTTGTATTAACTGGTAGTGACCCAAAAGTACCATTTACACAAAAAAGTCAGTATATTTATATTTTATATCATTAGCAAAGTGGCAACTCTTGACACACTAAGTAGTCTCTAAAACACAGTAAAGAACCCTGACACCCACATCTGTAAGCATAAAGAGTGTGATCACTTTATCTGATAAACAGTGCAGCCCAGCCCCCCCTCCCCCAACCCGAGAGTTTAAGAGCTTCAAACATCAGTCACTCTAAAACAGGAAACCACAATGAGACCCTGCAGCTCAGAGCACATCAGACCACTGTTCACTGACTGTCTTTACTGACTGATCTCACATCTGCTCTGTGCTGTTTAGATACAACTTTCAGGCCTGATTCAAGAGGAGAAACTGACCTGGGATCTGTTTAAAAATGTCTCATGTTCTTTTTATCTACATGTGAGTGAGCAGCATGTGAGTGATCATTCTGCTGCTATTAAACCTGAGGCAGCATTAATATTTTTAATAAAATCTAAGTGACAATAATGAAACTGGTGGGTTAATACAGTACCTCAGAAGGTAGTTTGTCTACTGCACCACAGACACACACATCATGATAACATCTGTGATTGGTGACGGCCAACTCTACATACAGATCAGGCACTATGAAGGCTTTTCTAACCTTTTTCAGACAGCTGTTTATGACTGCCTACCCCTGAATCACAATTAGAATAGAATGAATTGTGAACAATAGCCTCTATCATTGGTAAGACTATTTATATATTATCCAGGACTAATAAATATTATGATGGTCAGGTTGGTGTGCTGACCAATGCCTCCTTACTACACTTACACTCACTCACATACACACACATGCTCAGTTTAGACTGTAATGGAAACACGGTTGCAGATGGTAACCACAGATAAAGAAATAAGGGTGAAGATTCACTTCCCTCCACCATATATGCACATTCTTGATACTCAGAGCTCAGCAGCATCAAAGTTCAGACATGCAAAAACAGGAAACCCACAGTGAGACCCTGCAGATCAGGCCATTTTAGACCACTCTACACTGACTACCTGTAATAACTGATCTCAGATCTGCTTACAGTTCACTGTTCTTAACATTGAGACTGACTTTTAACCAATAACTCTCCTACAATCAGTTATAGTCTAAAATGTTCAAGCATTCAGTTTCACACCTTGAGAACAAGACGTTAAAAATGTTACTGATGTCACTGATCTGCTAATTTCAATTAATTTGCTAATAATAAAAACCACTGTAGCACGGCATGTGCTACCCCGGGCTCAAGGAGGACCTTGGACGCAGGGTTCAGTGCTGCAGCAGCCATATTTATTAACAAATAAACACAACTCAAAACAACCAAACTATGCAGGCCACTTTTCAGTGGCTTAAGCTCGCTAGACTTTTCAGTCTCTCACACTCAAGCTTTTCACGGTCTTCACTCTCGTGCTGCTGCTTGTCCCTCTCTCTCTCTCTGTTCTGTTCCCTCTCAGCTCTTTTTAAAAGGCACTCAGCACCTGAGCCGAGAGGGAACGAGATCTCACTGCTCCACCGCCTCGTCACCACACCCAGCTTGCAGCTCAGCCGCCCGGGTAGAACGTGAGGTGTAGTGGAGCGGCCTCGCTGCTTGGGACTCGCTCCTTGCCCTAGTGCCTCTCATTGCCGGCACCGTCGTTGTCTTCCTCCTCCTCCCGCCGTCACTCGCGTCACTCGGGTTACTCAGAGGAGCTCGGGCTTTGTCCCTCGGAACAGGACGGGGAGGGGGGAGAAGGGCTCCAGTCCTCCTGAGAGCTGGGACTGGTGGCTCGACGGGTGGTGAGAGGGGAGCTACTGCCCCCACGCACACTGAAGGTTGCCGCTCCGCCAGCAGGCTCCTGACCATCTGACGGGTCTCCACCTGCTGCTCCTCAAGCTGCTTCCAGTGCTTTTCAGCATCCTGGAAGACAGCCTGCAGCTCCCGCCAGCCGGCCAGGTGCAGGTGTACCAGGGTCTTGACGGCCTCCTCTTCTGCCGCGGAGACTCCCTCAGTGTGTTGGTGTCCTCCTCCCGGGTTTGGGCACCACTGTAGCATTGCATGTGCTACCCTGGGCTCAAGGAGGACGCTGGAGGCAGGGTTCAGTGCTGCAGCAGCCATATATCTTTAATTCCAAGTTCAAACAAACAATACAAACTCAAACAAACCAACACTGCTCTATGCTAGGCTGGCCACTTTTCAGTGGCTTCAGCCAGACTTTTCAGTCCTTCTCCTAAATAAGCTTTTCAGCTCTTCAGTCTCTTGCTGCTGCTGCTGCTCATACCTCTCTCTCTCTCGCTCTGTTCCCTCGCAGCTCTTTTAAAAGGCGCTCACGCTGCACCTAAGCCGAGAGGGAACGAGAGCTCGCTGCTCTGCCTCCTCGTCAGCGCACCCAGCTTGCAGCTCAGCCGCCCAGGTCAAACGTGAGGTGTAGTGGAGCGGCCTCGGTGCGTAACAGGGGGCGGGGCCCAGGCGGCGGAGCTTGGGACTTGCTCCCTGCCCTGGGGCCTCTCGTTGCCGGCACCGTCGTTGTCTTACTCCTCCTCCCGCCGTCACTAGCGTCAGTCGGGTCACTCGGAGGAGCTCGGGCTATGCACTCTGCCCCCTCCCCACTCGCGGCTCTCTCCCTGCCGTTCTGGCCGAGGTTCGTCGTCGCTGGGTGTTCGGGCCCCGCCTTCCTGCCGGCTCTCGCAGCCGTCATCGCCGGGGCCCGGGGGGTGGGTGCATGCTACAACCACTTTTACAGAAAATTACACAGAAAACTCAAAACTAAATGTATCAAAGTTTTCAGTATTTATGGTGACCACTAACTGCCTTTATTACAGCTTCTATTCTTTTCAGGAG